CCAGCTCTTGTAACTTGGAGACCATCTGTTTTGCAGTTTGAGGTCGTGCGTTGTCTTGCAGGAGCCCGATTGACCAAAGCTGGTAAGTTTTCATCTAGTGCATTGTTTAGGTGCTGAACGAGGATCCAACCAACTTGCTCAGTGCTTGCGATTGTCAAACAGAATCCCTTTTTCGTCGCAGGTAACAATGCGGTTCAAAATTCATCCGTTTGTGTGCCTGTAGAGCAGTGCAATGCGCGTCTCTCGACGCGTACTTCGCGCTGCCGATCATTGACTTCGTGTTTTTTATTCCTTCAAAGTTCGACCACGGGGTTCATTTTTCAGGTAGAAATATGCAGAACGGATGCAGGAAAACAAATTTCTCATTGAAATACGATGAAAACATAACGCTTATCAATAAAAAAGAAAACTAATTTTGAGAAAAGAATTTCATTTTTTTGAAATAAAACTAATTTGAAATTAGAATTCTTAGCGAAACAAAAAATATTTTTATTTGAGATGGCCAGTAAGCAGAACGGCAGTTTTATAGGCAAATATATATAATCTGAGGAAGATCGTTTATTTTTATACGATGTAGCACGAATGGGTCGGCTCGATCGCGGAAGAATCACGCTCTCAAAGAATACCAGCGTAAAATTGCTGCTGTGTTTCGTATGGTTGAGTGAGTTTTCAGAACCGAAGACCTTTTTTACTTGAAACACGGCATCTTTAACCTAAGGGGTGACAACGCATTCTGCATTTAAACAAATGTAGATGTAGAAATGTAGTCTGTGAGCCACACCATCATTTGGACTGTGTGTTCGTTTTTATGTGACCCTTATCTTCACAACTGCAGAATAGATTGCTCCAAGAAATGCAGTTTAAACTCGATCAAGATTGACTTTCTAGTTGTGACCCGAGATCGACCCGATTTCTCCGCGCAGCTTCCCGCAGTTTGCGGATCGGGCCACGTACGAAATGTATTCGAGTAATTGCGCTAAAGATCCCGCAGACTGCGAAATGTCGATGTTTTTTATTACTCGACTGCGTGACTCAAAGGAGGGTAATGTGTTTATCGGCCTGTATGTTTGTGTGTTTGTATGTTTGTTCCTTTGTGGCGTTTATAGACCAAACGCGTGGGCCGATTTTGATGATTGTTAATCGTTAATCAATTTGATTTAATCTTGTGAGTGTCACTAAAGACATGACAGTAAACTAAATTCAATATGGCTACAACCGGATGTCATACTAAAAAAAATTAACACACACGCAAGCATGCACGCACGCACGTACGCACGCACGCACGCGCGCAAACACACACACACACACACACACACACACACGCGCGCGCGCGCGCCCACACGCCCTACCCCTGGGTACCCCGTTCTCTACGTTCGTTAGGGTTAGTATAATACTAGGAATTTGTGTATGATAAATGATAATAAAACCCTGGGAAGGTTGGCAGCTACCAAGCTATATGTATTTCTAATTTGTTTTGTGTTGTTAGGTGTAACATACAATGGTAAATTAAAAAAAGTGACTTTCAATAAGTGATTATTTATAATCTAGATATATAGAATAAAATAGTTACTGGATAGTTACTGTTACGAAACACATCAGGATTAAGTTGATATATCTTACGCTGGTATTCATATTAAATGAATTTCATATAGAATGCTATATAAACAAACACTATTGTCTGTCCAACCCAATTAAATCAAACCTGTGCAAATTAAGGACACGTAACAATTAGATAACTCTTAGTTGACAGCGTGTGACGTCACTCAATCAAACTGAGTGCGTGAGCGCAACTAGAGATGTGCTTGTGTAACTTATGTGTCGATAAAAAGTACTCATCAATTACTTCACTGCGTGTCTATTAATGAGTAACAACTCACGGTAGCAACAAGGTAATATTTTGATCTCTTTCGTCCTACATAATGTCCATAAATATATATTATAGAGATGCTGTAATTCAAGGAAGGCTGCTTAATCTCGCAAAATTTTGTAATATACGATTGCTTCCCGCCGGCACCAATAAAATTGTTAATTACATAATAACCAGTTTAATCGTGAGAAAACTTAATCTATAATGTATAAGAAAGTTAATCTATAATGTATAATAGGCTGTACTCTAGTAACTTTTGTCTCTTAAGTCCCACATTAGTTATAATTTAACACATTATAAATGTGTAATCGTCACCTTACGCTTAAGTACGAGTATCAATTATTAGACGAATAGGAAATGGCATATCGTGGACATATTACTCTGAAAATATGTACGTATGGTACGCCCGTCGAAAGCGGAGAAACGAGAGAACCTTTGGACTAAAAATTGACATCACTTTCATTATCAAATTCGGAATTTTGTATAAATAATGATTGGAGTGCGATTTAACATTATCGACATTTCAATTTACAGCAACATTACTAATTGCAATCACTTGCTATTGTTCTGCGTTGTTTTGGTTCATCAGCCGGCTTGATTGTCTCGTACGCGCCAGATGTAGGTTATTTTATGATTGATTGATACAACTGCCATGAGATACGCAATAATAACATACATAACGCTAAAGCAAATTCGACATATTCCTGAATTATGTCTATACTTTGAATACTTCACGAAAACATGATTTTTGTAAGAGATGCCTGGATTTCTGATGCTATTAAAATTATAAGGTTAAACTGTTAACTACTCCAAATTAACTGTCTCGTTGGTCTAGTTGATATAATATCTGTGACTGCCGATCATGCGGTCTGGAGTTTGAATCCCGGTTCTAGTCAAAATTCTTTACTGGGATTGTGTGTTAAGAATTCCTCAAAAGCAACCCAAAGTCAGGAATTTGGGCGGTGTTTCATTCACTCCGTGTCTCGGAAACCACGTTAAGCCGTTGGTGTTTTGTAGTATCGGGTTTCCGTTTCATTAGATTATGAGAAATAAAATGTAAGGGGAATAAGCCCGCTGCATACTTGCATACGGAATGCCGTTCCGGAAAGAACGAACGGTTCGGCCATACGGATCTATTTGTAATTTGTTTTATGTTGTTAATTGTTATATACGTGATTGTTAGCTGTTTTTTTTTAAAGTTCCGCTGGATTTTCCGCTAGTTCTTCCCAGGACAGAGGTTTTTTTCTGAACCAGTGGTAAATTAAAAAAAAGTGACTCAATAAGTATTATTTATAATCTATATTGAATAATTTTCAAAAATCATACTGTATTTCTTGTTTTAGTATTTATAATTTTACATTATGAATCTAACATTATGAATAAAATTAATAATTTAAAAAATTCTATTATAATATAACAATTTATAATTATTAAGTATATAGGTTTGACTGGCAGAGTAAGCCGTCCGTCCATTGTTACCTTAGTTATGAATTTGTTATACAGTCATAACAAATTCAAACTAAGGTACGGAAGATACGGAATTAAAATTGAATAAATCGATTGATTTTAAGTATCTTCATTCATCCTAGTTTACAACTCTGCTTTAACCAAACTCTGTTTTACGCCTCTGCTCCATACAAAGTCCAATCCTGTGCATGATTTATTGATAGTTCGTAATGCTCGCATATCCGTAAGAATATCCTAGACAATCATTGAACTTTCCGCGAGATCTCTTTCCTTGTATCTGCTCATTCAGATATTTGTGCTTGTCGGTCTTGATATCAAAAAGTTAAATAATGTAGGTACTAAATAAAACACACCTTGAAATGTTTATAGTTCATTTATTTTTAAGGTTGACGGTGGTTGCCCAACAAACAGCTTATAAGAAAAATTGCTTTTACTAACTTCGTACATAATGAAACTGATCGTAACGGAAAATGGAACGCTTCTTGAATATAGGAATCGGGCATAAAAGTAGATTCACGTAAGTTTTCGATCTTCCAACTCCGGGAAAATTATTATTAAAAAAGCTTCGACCTACTTTTAAAACATACACTCGTGAGTTAAACCCTCGTTCCTTTATTATATGATGCTATACTTAATTTTAAAAATACGACTTCTGATTTAAAATTAAAAAGTAGGTATGTATTATACTCTATTTAATTTTTTTATGTGGTAGAGCCACCCTATAGAATGTACTATTCTACCTGCAAAAGGAATGAGTGCCCCATCGGGACATCGTCGCGTTAACACAGAATATCAGTTTGAAATAGAGTACCTATAGTGCTGCTGCTGCTGTGTTTCGTATAGTGAGCGACGGAAACCAGATACCCTTTTCCTCACTGTGAACGAGGCAATAGCCATGTTAATCCTCAAGGGTGGCAAAACGTATATATTTTGTTTTGATTCATCACCGAGGATAGACGTAGGTGTCTATGGGCCGAACATATCCACTTACAATAAGGTGTGTGCTCGTTTATATCTTTTACTTGTATAAAAATTTAAAGATCCATTCTAGTACACGTTCATACAATAATCAGTTCTTGCACTTAAAGAATTAGCGCGCAGACCTCTCTAATTTGTCCCAATAAAGCTTTTATATCGGACCGCGAGCAATGAAGGAAATAACTACTTTCCTTTTAAAATGCCAACTTTATGAACGTTAAAGTCGCACATCGTCCAATCAAAACTCCACCGTATTTCATAAGTAATATGATTCATTAAAATAGTTGGACACGATCGATCAAGCTACGATGTTATTAAATTATTTCTCTCCTAAATGCGATAAGGTTAAGGCTTATAATTGAAGTGGCTATTTAACTCACTTATCGGATGTCAAATGATAACTGACAGACATTGAGGTTTGAGGCTACCTGTCAGACTATGGATTACTATGTCATTCGCGCAGGGGCCGTCGGCGCAGGCGCATGTGTTTTTCTAACCGGTCTTTCTATTACACCGCTGTGGGCTGTACTGGAATTCGGGGTCGCATTGTTTACTTTCGTTTTGTTCGATAAACAATAGGCAATAAAGTACCCATCAGTTAAGTTATTGTTAAGCAGTGAAACAATCGTGTTAAGTGAAATAACTGTGATAGTGAACATTCCGAGAAAACAGAATGCGGCGCGTTAAAATGAATTTGGATCCAGATCTCGGCGATTTGGAGGAGATGCTCGCTCACGTGCAAACGCAGCTGGAGCACGAGATTGATCTCGAGAAGGAGTCCAAGATGCCTTCAGTGGTAAACGTTCAGGAATCACCAAAGCCGAAAAGGACTCCGTCGTTTAATAAAGCCGATTCGTACGAGATTCGTCGACAAGCACCGAGGCCTCCATTGATGAGGGTGAACAGTGACATAAATTCCGGCAGCAAGTCCCTCAATGGTGAAACCAGAAGTCAGTACAGCGTAGATCTCAACCATAACGAAAAGCTACGCGGATCTCAAACCAGTCTCAAGTCTGACGATGCGGTGTCACAGATCTCCTTCCAGTCTTTTCGGTCTGAGCCTGTTCAGAGGCTCTCTATGCTCAGTCTGCCTGATAAGCGAGGTTCGTCTGCTTCTCTCAACGGGAAGGGGAGAACGGCGACCTTACCGAGAGGCTACGGTTCAACTAAGGACAAGAGTTGGGAGGACTACTGGGCGCAGTAAGTTTTAGTTGTTACGTGTATTTTTTTCATTTCTTTATTTGAAAGTACCGTTATGTTAGTCTTTACTAACAATGCAAGGTATTATGAGGAGAACTTTCTGAATTTTGATTTAATCTAAGTAGTTAGTCGTGTAGCTATTTCTAGCCAGTAATTTGGTTAGGTTGAACGTGTAGTGGTTGGTCTAAGTAATATCCACCACGCTATATAATCCTGTGTGTGTCTTAAGAGGTGACCATGGAAAACAAACCAGGAGAAAGGCAGCATCGTCTTCCAAATAACAAGTAGAAATAAAAAACAGCGGTTGACAACCCGCCTACCCTAACGTGGCAAAATAGTTCAAGTTACAGCCTATGTATGAGAGGGTTTTATGGTACGGAAGAGCCCGCCGCGCTGCCCCAATGCGTGTTGGCGAACTTCACATGTCTTCGAAATATTTTTTTTATTTCTCAGACATGCATGTTTCTTCACCGTAATTGCAAACAACAATTTTATTGGTGTCGCAGGAGATCGACCAGAGGTTATTCGCATACTCTGTGATTACGTGGCAACTATGGCAAATATTTCTAATTTATGTGGAAGGTCTGTGTTCAACTGTAGGCTGTAACGATAGCGGTAATTTAGTTAGGTTTTTTTAATAGTATAAGGGTGACAAACGAGCGCTCAGTCCACCTGATGGTAACTTAGGATGGTAAGTGGTTGCTGTGGCCCGTAGACATTTACATCTATTCTCGAGTAAAAGTCAAAATGCAGATGCGTTGTCACCCGTGAGGACTAAGATGGAATGTGTACAAAATTTGTCATTAAACAAATTTAAATGTTTTATTAAAGAGAAATTGTACAAAAAGGGTTATAATATAAATGAATACATAAATGAAAATAACCCTTTTATAATGAGGTGATAGCCACTATGCCACCACGCCACCATTTTGTAAATTTAAATATGTTTAAAAAAATCCTGCTGGGCTTATAATTTAAAAATGGCTGTAAATTAAAAATGACTTAATAAGTATTTTATAATAATCTATGTTGAATAAAATCATTTTATTTCAATGCCTCGTTTCCAGTAAAAATGGTTGGTGACGCTATCGTCTCTTTAAGGTAATACAATACAATAATATTTATGGTAACATAATAAGTATTAAGTACATTTTAATGAATAACAAGAAATGCGGATAAATAGTTGCAACAATAATAAGTAATCGGTTTGAATGACGCATACAAATATTTAAATCCTTAGTAAAAACGTGATTCAGATATCACGTATAGTATTTTATTGGAATTTCATTTGCAATATTCGTGGAAGTTACGCTATAATACCAATGCTGAGTACCACTTGACTAACTTAAATTCGAAATTTAAAAACAAAACACTCCGCCCTCCATGTGCTCCAATTAAGCTAAGAGAATAATGCTTATAAGTACAGGATAATGATGGCGAATTTTCTTCATTTCAAGGTTGTGTGTAAGCTTGCAGGCTGATATATCATTCACCATTAGCCATTTTCCCGTGCTGACTTTACTTATCGTTACAGTCTATAAAAATATACGTGGTAGAGCCACGCTGCAGTTATATTGTGGTTGTAGCACGAATAGAACTGCTCGACCGGGGAAGGACCACGCTCTCACAGAATACCAGCGTAAAATAGCAGCTTAATGCTGCTGTGTTTTGTGTGATTAGTGTAGGGATCCGGAGACCTGTTTTACTGGAATCAAGGCATTCCATCTTAATCTTCAGGGGTGACAACGTATCTGCATTTTGATTCTTCATCGGGGATAAATGTAGATGTCTTTGGGCCACAGCATCCACTTACCATCAGTTGGACTGTGTGCTCGTTTGTCACCCTTAAACTGTAAAAAAAATCCACTGTCATCACTCATCACGGATCGTAGATGCCACGCTTGGAAAGTGAACTTGCAACCGCGGTGTTTTATTTTTAGGTTAGAAGGAAAACTCTGCTGCCAATGTCCTAGTTGGTTTCCCTGTGTTGCCTTTTAAGACATCCATGGGTTAATATGGGGGTGTTGAATTTTTTTTTGTATATAGGATAGGGTGACAAACGAGCACACAGTTCACCTGACAATAGGTGCTTGCTGCGGCCCATGGACATCTACATCTTCCTCAATTACAAAACAAAATGCAGATGCGTTGTTACCCGTGAGGACTAAGATGGAATGCCTCGTTTCCAGTAAAAAGGGTCTCCGGTTCTCTACACTCACCATACGAAACACAGCAGCATTAAGCTACTATTTCACGCTGGTATTCTGTGAGAGCGTGGTCCTTCCCCGGTCGAGCCGACTCATTCGTGCTACAACTATACTACTAATATATTTACTGCAGCATGACTCTACCACGTATAAAATCTACATCCGTACATCGCCACTACACGGTTTTTATTATTAAAGTAATTTTGGCTATCAGTGTGCCAAACGTCTCGCACCTTTGTTTCCCATTTCGTTACGTGTGTGTGGTAGGAGATAACAATAAGAAATATCACAGGTTCCTGTAGTTAACGGTGTACACATATTTCAGTACTTGTTTTCATCGAATTCAATTTGGATAGATCCATAAATGAAATACATTCACCTAATATTTTATTATCTAATATCTTTCAAAGCGTATGTATCAAAGATGAAACACATATTTTTCTATATCGACCTCCCAGAATCATTTGTTTTCGTACAACCCACACGTGTTCCGCATCTTTCAGTGAACAGTGATGTACAGACTATTCACACGACAGAGAGTTGTTTCGTGTACCTGTATATACATTTAATACTTTAGACTTATCTTAGTAAAATTGATCTCAAATCAAGAATCTAACGCCCAATCACAAACTATTTTATATCCTGCGTATATATTATGGAAATAGGTATTAACTTCATTGCAGTAATTTTGTGGCAAAATTACTAAAAACTTATAAGTCGGTGTATATTACTTTTATATTAAGATGCAATGCCCCACAGCCTGTGATTATACTGACTCTATACTCTTCAGACTGGCACACAGCAGTGCACGCACTGCTATTTGACGACAGAAATAGATAACAGGAGGATGGAGGAGTCCATCTGGTTTAAGAAATTGGCAAAGATAAATGGTGGCTTACCAGTTGTGAGTATATCATTAATTCAAGTTAATACATTTTAGTGTACCTACATACTGGCTGCATTTATCAAATGTCAAAACATTTATAATATATATATATATATATATATATATATATATATATATATATATTTATCTATCGTATATGTCAAGTCAGTATTAGTACGTAGAAATTTGAATTAAAATATTAATAAATGTTTAGCTGATATATATATATATATATATATATATATATTTTTATATATATATTAATAACTTATTATTTCTAATTTCGTACACAGTCAATTTATGTATTTTTCCTTAAGAATTGTTAACAGCAAGAAATACATGACTAAAAAAATATTTAATAATTAGCCGTAACATTAAACCAGCAGCACAAACCATATGAACGGATAGAAGATAGAAGTTAACAACATTTGCCTCAGGGATAATATTACTCTGTGTCGTCATTAGCCTGTGGCAGGAACCAGAGATTACGCAAAAAGCGGCGGTTGAACTGTAGGCGGTTATTGTCCAAAGTTGAGTTAGATTTATATTGTTTACCTCGAAGTGAAACTTTCCAGGCTAATTATGCCAGCCTATTGTTTGCTATTCGTATCTCTATTTTGGTATTAACTTGAGAAAGTGCGGCTCTCTTTAAAAAGTTAATCGCCCTGGTTTGGATTGTACCAAAAATTAAATTAAAGTGTCTGTTTATGTTTATAATGTTAAAATAACAACTGTTTACTAAATGAATAATATCAATATATACGGTTCTTATAACGAAAAAACATTTTTTTTAATTTTCTGTCCATTTGTCTATCTGTCTGTTTGTTCCGGCTAATCTGCGAAATAGCTGAATCGATTTTGACGGCACTTTCACTGGCAGATAGCTGATTTTATAAGGAGTCACTTAGGCTACTTTTATTTTAGAAAAAAAAATTGGGTTCCGCGCAAAAGATGTTAAAACCCATGAAATCCAATCGTAATAAATTCCAGGCGGATAAAGTCGCGGGGCACAGCTAGTGGAACATAAAATGACCAATGTTTGTTCTATGCGCATACGAATATAACTGTTAAACTTATATTTCACTTCACATGGCACGCTATGTTTAACAGATAGAGACAGAAAACATATTTCATCGTCATCATTACAGCCCTTCACAAGTCCACTTCTAAACATAGGCCTCCCCCAAGTAATGCCACAAAGCACGGTCCTGAGTCACCTGCGTTCATCGATTTCGAATATGTGCCTGCTGCCATTTTATCACGTCGTCACTCCGTATAGTGTGGGCCCGCTATACACTGGTTATTGGGTCAAGGCTTAATCTCGAGATCCCTACGCCTCCAACAGCTGTCGGTTTATCGAGCTATATGGCCCATTTCCACTTTAACTTTAACCGACTTCAAAAATAAAGAGGTATTGGAGAGGTATATATAATTTGATGAAAATTATTTGAAACCTGGTGCTTCTAGTGTGGTCTCATAAAAATTTGATAAAGATCTGACGAGTAGTTTTTGAGTTATCCTCAATAATGCGTATTTAATTGACTTGACTACATTGATGAAGTTCGCATTTTATTTATATTGCAGTCGGTAGTACAAATTTTTAATTTTACCACTTGTTAACGCTTGATTTTTCTACCCCATCTACTCGTATATTATAATACCTTGCGCTGTATATGAGATGATTCTAAACTCCATTTTTTTTAACAGACTGATTGTGTTATCGTGCGTTATTTAAGAGGTAATAATGGCGGTAACATTTTCGTTTGTAACTTCTATTTAATAAAATAAAAAGTTAAGTTAAGTAAGTAAATGTAAGCTTTTTAAATGAAATTTAAAAAGCTTACATTTACTATTTTCAAAAACCACGTTATTTTCATATTCTTGCCTTGTCATCCGATTTTGAGCTA